ACATTAAATTTAAAAAAAATAAATACGCCAAGGAAAATATAAACATTTGCTTACTACATTTTAACAGGCGATAGTTATCAATTTAGCCACATGTAACTTAGAAGATATTAAATATAAATTAAATTAAATTTTCAAAAATAAAAGATATAAAGTATAATTTGTATATATTATTTATATTATATAAAGTATGATTATATACCGATCCTAAAAATCGGATACTGAAAATCAGGACAAAGGTTATAATAATGATTGCATTTTGTCAATATTACTAATTTTTATGATTATACTTCCAAACTACTTTAATATGCCCTCACGAAAAGTGCTATCCGAACGACCACCCATCTAAAATACTACTATGCATTCAAAATTAAATTACAAGCACAAGAGTGATATATGTTATGTTCTACGTGAGGTGGTGTAAGGCACGTAAGACAATGCGTGATTTTAATTTTTTTAAAGATGAACGAATAAAAAAATCATTCTACGTTGCACACGTCGCACCGTTCGTCGTGGTGTTTATTGCGCAACTGTAATCGCATATACTCGGCCGTCGCGCATTAAAATATAATCATAAAATATAATATCATATWATCATATAGTAGGTACACGTGGAAACGATGCAGATCGGAATATATATATTTAGGCGAGCCTCGACTTTGGGATCACCCGCTTTGGTCACGACCTCCGGAGAGGCCTCCAGGCGCGACGGCGCGGCTGCCGATCATTCATGTTTTCGTTTATTTTGACTGCTGACGGGTTCGGAGCCGATCTCGACTAGAACACACTTACACACATCCTACACACACCTTGCAAACAATACAAATAGAGGAGGCGACAGACTAGATTGCTTACACAATATACTCGTGTAAGCATATATGTATATATATATATATATATACACGATATAGTGTACATAACCTAACCTAACTTTATATTGTCTTTATCGTCTACCTATATTGTCCTTGCGATAGTTAAATTTACACCGAAACAGCATCTCAGTGTTAAAGTCGACGGGACTGAAGTAATGTAGAAAACTAAGTCGTCGATGTCAGCACGCACAGCTGGTAGATAATAAAATCACTGCAGTAGTCCACCATAATCGTATATCGTGTATACTACGTAATCGTCATCTTGCATTGACGTTATCAACATTGTCATTAATAATGAACATGGACACCATCGTCGTTTTGTAGTATTAAAAATATAATTGCGATTAGTTAATCGACACCTGCAAATTATCACAATTACACGCAGGCGAGACAGAATTGGACACGCTTACACAGTTGCACCTATATGCATTTAAAACTTACTATGCCTGCAAATAGGTACGGGACAAGTACATAACATATAGTATATATATATACATATAATCATTTAAGAGTGCCACAATATGAAACTGTATGAGCTTCCTATAGCCTATAATGACTATTAAAAAACAACTTAGCAGAAACATTTAACTTAATAACACATATATGATCAATTTCCTATACCTAAAATTAATTGTATTATATTAAATACATTTCTATCAATCACCATATTGCATACAATATTTTGATCTAAATTTTAAATAATTTTCATTACCATCGTTAAATAAAATTATTAACATAATAATATACTATTATGATTATTATTGTTATTCGTAACATAATGTATACAATTTACAACGGTCAGCTTTTTTAAATTTATACTTACTAAATAATAAACATATACGATACAATCAAAATTTTTCCTGCAATCACTGAAGCCCTATGATTTCGTTATTTAGTACAATATCATATATGTGATAGAGTCTATCTATTACTATAATATCAAGTCTGAAGGCACTTCGTCGGAAGAATTTTTACTATATACATATAAAATATATATTTTGAAATGTATCAGATCTATGTCTATAAAGAATTGTAGTTAGTATATGTTATAATATATTTTACGCAAATGGATTGTATCCGATAAAGTACGTCGGGATGGTTTTAATAAAATAAACTATTAAACCATAGGAGACGGTGGTCGTGTCGTGTGCCGTCGCCTATTTGATATGTATAGAACGCTGCAGCGGTGGCGGGGAAAGAAGAAGTCGTCGTCGGCGATTGCTGCTGCCATACCACTCCGTTCCACGCGGAAGCGTTTCTCACAGCGTGACGTCACAGCACCGCCGTCGTCGGAAGTGGCCACCGCGGTCGCGTGGAAGGGGGCACCGGGGCTCCAGATGGACCGCCGGCCAACGGTGTCTCCGATCGGTTCTTCAATAGTCCGTTGCCAGTGGACTGGCGAAGGCCAAGGTCTGATATTTTCTTTCGTACATTTGCACATCGTATAAAATACATCATTTCCTATATTTATGTTATATGTATTAATATATCTGACGAAACTCAACGCCAACATTTTTTTCGACAGTTTTTAAATATTGCTAGTATTTTTTTTCGTCGTTTTTCATTTGCCGTATATACCATTTTTTGCGCGAGTGCAGTTTTTTGCAAAAAAAAAAAAAAAAATTATAAAATTAAATTTAAACCGAAATTTGTTTATTTTATCGTTTTTTTTTTGTGTGTACCGTTTTTGCAACAGTAGCCGCCGAGCGGTTCAGACCGCCGCGCCAACCACACCACCTACACGGAAGCACCATCTTCCGCCGTTTCAAATGGGTAAGAATTTGTTATCAGGTCTTTGACCTCTGTCTTTAAGAACTCATTTTTTTTATTGGTTTTGCGAACTTGCAAACCTCGACTTCACTGCAACATTATATATACGCGCTATTTTGCGGTTTTTCGATCGGTCAAATATATTACTTCAGAAACAGTCAATATACACATTACACGTATAGCATAACAACAACAATATTTATCACACTCAATCTCTTTCTCTACTCCAAGATAATTCCGTTATTGCATGAAATAATATATACCTATACATAGATGGTAGACATAAATGATTTTTTTTTGCAATAAATAATTTAATATTTCATCATCAGCGGAAAACATTGTTTCGAAAAAAATAAAGCCGTACAGCTGATGACTGGTGTAGATGACGCTTTAGTTTAGTTTATTCGCCATAGTTTACTCGGAACGGTGTATTTAGTGTAATATATTGAATATAAAAAAATAAACTATTCTAAGCTTGGTTAAGACCTGCCAACAGTAGCTTCGACATTCCATAATTTTTTCTTCATTCGACGTTCTGTCATTTTTTTCTCATGCTTGGGTACCGATAAAATCGGAAAATAAACACTTTGAAGAACGTGTAACTGTAATAGACTGAATGACTTTAGGCCGATCTAATAGAGTTTGGGCTACCTTTAAACGAAATCTCTTGGTAAAGTATAGGTACAAACCCACGAAAGTCGACACGTACCTGCTTCGCTCGGAATCTAAAAAAAGACACACACCGTGATAATGTATTGTACAAAGTCGCAGGTCAAACACTTTACTTATTACTTATAGGTATATTAAAATGTAGAACCGCAAAAATATATCGGTAATATATAGTTTGTTCTACTGCAACAGTACAGTTGTCGAAAATATTATACCTATATGAACGTATCGACAGTCCGTTGCATGATATTCACAAAATTGAATATACGCGGCGCATCGTTGAAAATATTCGGATTATTCACGGTAGCAAGGCATTAAATATAAACCMGAAAACTCTACAAGTATACACTATTTGTGTGTTAATAATTTATTATATGGAACACGTTAAGATAAGTTTCCGTATATTTCGGTCTCTCGGCGGCGGCATTTAGCGTGTATAATCTATATATATACATAAAAAATCCTATACTCGAACCGATCGTTTTGACGCTGACGGGGTCGCATAAACAACAGCATAATGTTATACATATAGATAGAATAATAATAATAGTGTATAATAATTATGCACACACAGGCGTCGCGGTGCTGCCGGTGCAGCTGCAGCAGTCTGCGCGCGCGCCGCGGATAACAATCGTACACGTCATAATAATATATACGTGACCCGTCCGTCGGTCCGTCTGCGATGCTCGTCGTATATGGGAGGTATGCCATGCAAGAGACGTGCGGAGTAGTAACACTCGGGTTCAAAAACGTGTGGCTGTTCTGTAAAATACGCATAATGTATAATGATATCGGCGATCGTTTTCAGCTCCGACCGCGCGGGCTACCTCTCCGGACGACTCACGCGTGGTATAGATTTCTGCGGCGGCATTTCTGACGATAAATTAAGGTTATTGTAGATACACACACACACACACACACACACACACACACACACACACACACACACACACAACCACATCATTAGTCACTACCGCCGCCGACGCTACACATCGCGGTGTACCACTTCCACTCTTACAACACTCACACTCACAACAACAACACACACACACACACACATACACACACATTCATCAGTGAGACCAATGAATGAAAAATAATTAAGCGGACGTCGTACATCGACGACGAAGGCCGATGTTTGAACTGCAGTTGCACCGCAGCTGCACTGCAATATAATTTATTGCAACAATAAATAAATATTACAATAAAATATATAAGTAGCAGACAGGAACCTATATAGAGAGATATACGCTTATAATAATATTCGGCACCTATAGGTTGATATTGAAAAAAAAAGATTATCGTGTGGATAGATCATCGCAGCCAGCGAATGAAGAAGACGGTGAAAATCATACGATTTTTTCACGCGGGCTCGTTTCCTAGAAGACTTCACGCCCGGCGAAAGCGACAACGCGGCTCTGTATATATCGTATATTTCGGATGTACATCATCTACATTATAATTTTGTTTTTTTAATAATATATAAAATAAATGTATATGTATATATATAAGGTGACGAAAATAGTAACCTGCGGGTGTATCGTAGTTAGGTGTCGGACACGGATTTATTCTTCCGCCGACTGATCAATTCATCACAGTGTTTATGTTTTGATTATAATCCTCATGAGTTTTTTTTTTCGCATGGCGTTTGTTATACGTCATGTGCCGTACAACCGCGCCGTTATACCGAGAAAATATGTTCGCTCACTTAATTTCCCCCTTAATACACCATTTTGTTTCAGACAGATTTTTTTGCAAGGCATTAATCTAAAATAAAAACAAACAAAAAAAATGCAAAATATAAAACGGCAATCCTTACAGGATACATATTAAATATTGATATTAAAATATTATATGTGCTTAAGTTATCCGACTTGACATCTCCCAAGCCTTTGATCGGGTTTGGCACGACGGACTAATGTACAAACTTAAAAAGTTCTTACCCGCCCCTCTTTTCCTCTTAATAAAATCATATCTATCAAATCTTTTCTTTACTGTTCGCCTAAACAACACCTACTCAACCTGTTACACTATTAGAGCTGGGACCCCAACAAGGAAGCGTCATCGCTCCATTCCTTTACTCGATTTTCACTCATGACATACCCGAGACATTTTATACATCTTTAGGTACATACGCTGATGACACGCTAATAACCGCCTCCCRCGAAAGCCACGTCACAGCCAGTGAAATGATCCAAAACCATTTAAATATGATCAGCTTGTGGGCAAACAGATGGAAAATCAAAATAAACGAAACTAAATCTGTTCAAATAACTTTTTGCAAATAACCTACGAAATCTCGATTCTCCACCTGTCACGTTAAACAATATACCAATTCCTAAGGCAAACGAAGTCAAATACCTCGGACTAACTCTCGACAAACGCTTAACCTGGAGCCCATACATTAAAGCTAAACGCAAAACTGTTAACTCTAGGCTTCATATCCTTAGACCACTCTTGAAATCCAAACTTTCCCTTTCCAATAAACTTACGGTATACAAATCAATAATTCGACCAGCTTGGACATATGGTATCCAGTTATGGGGCTCAAGCCCTCTAACACCAACACTCTTCAAGCTTTTCAATCTATCTGCCTACGATTAATAACGTCTTCTCCTTGGTATTTCACAAACAAAAATCTTCACAAAGACCTAAAAATTCCTACACTTAATCAATTAGCAAAAGCACATTACTCTAAATTTCACTCCAACTTAAACTCTTACAGTAATCCATTAATAAAGCAACTTTCTTCCACCTCACTTCCTGGCAATGTACGCAGAAKACTAAAAAGGCAGTGGCCTAGAGACCTGCTAAAATAAAAAAATAAATAAAAAAAATAAAAACCCACGACATCTTAAATGTTCTCGGTCGGGTGGTGCTCTGCTGAGTGCCTGCCCCTAAATGCTAAATTCTGCTATTTCATATTATATTAATTATCAAATTTGCCCATTGTACATAGTTGTATAGATTGTAAATTACTTAAATATATAAAAAAAAAAAGTTATCCGATACGCGAGTTATCCGACACACGATAGTTTTAAACACAAGACAATACATATTTTATAATTTACTAGGTACCTATTATAATTTCACATACACTCCGAATAATTATAATAAATCGAAATGTTTCTCGCGGTTATAATGAATAAATAGGTTTGACGCGCTTCAAGATTTATTTTCAAACTTAATTTCGAAAATCAATATAATATAAAATTAATAATTTAGTTAATCCGCCGGCGATGTCATTATGATACTAGCTGTTTAAAACGTCACGGTTACGTTGTTTAATTGCCCACCGTGTAGGTCTTATTTTATTATATTATTATCATATCACTGCAACGATGGAAAATATTATAAGACATATTAATATATATACACTATACAGTACACTCAAGTACATGCAATATTTATGAAAATAAAACGACATGAATATTTATTATCAATTATTATTATTTTTACTCGTATCTTCCCGACAACGGGAGTCGTGTTTCACTGCTATGCGGTGTGCAAATAATTTATAAAGATAGGTACACCGGAATGGCGGTGAGTGGCGTCGGAAAATCGTTTAGACTTTATAGCCATCAATATTGGTCGTTATTCTCGAACAAGTACCTTCCTTCAAATCATTCGCCGTCGAGGTATAATATTATTGCAGTACGCAGTCGGGATGATATAATATTGATATCGATTAACAATAATTAAATAAAAATCACTTGTCGAGTTGTTTCCGATTTAACACTGCAACGAAATATCGTAGAGGCTGTTAAGTGTTTAGGCCCTCTCCCACAAACGTGCACATTATATAAATATAATAATGCAATATTATAAATTATTAACATAATAGTATTTCTAACGTTCAATGGTTATTAAAAGTAGGAGTCAATTTAGCCACTGAAAAGTTGGAACCGTTTCTCTAACCGTTGATGATTTTTTTTTTTTAATTCACCTTTAATACAATTATATAATTATCTTTTTGTGATTAATACGCTAGCGTTTTTTCTTTTTTTTATGTAGATTAGTGATTCAAGGAATTAATTAATAAAATTAATGAAATGGTATTAACAAAACTAACGAAATATAATATTAACATTATTATTTAACAATATTAAAGTTTATCTTGTTGCGTGAACGTACGGTTTTAAATTTGTATATTATCAATACCTATATGATACATGGCAAAAACAATMTCATGATTTAACGTTTGGCAACATATTTTTACCCAATCACCACATTTAGTTTTGAATTTATCATTAGTTAATTATCATGAAATGTTAACTAGTTACCTATAATAATATATTATGAAGGGGGCAATGTCGTTAAAAAATAAGTTTAATGTGTATGTAACATCAACAGGCCTTAGCCAATTACGAGTTTCGTTAGGTGAATGTTAGTTTTCATCTCGATAATATTATTTGTCTCTTACGCTAAAAACCAGTTACCGGGTCACGAAAAATAATTACAAACACAGTTTAAGGCCATCATTAGATTTTACGTTTTTATACATTTCTATAAACATAATAAATATAATACCTATTATTATTATTATTATTATTACACGTACGAGTATGTGGGCAGTGCGCATATAATAGACTTTTAAGTTTTAACGACACATCGACATCACAATATACCTAAAATAATATACGAAATTTTAAGCGCGCAGACATAAACCAATAATATTATTAACGATGATTATAAAATACGCGGATAGGTCTACCGTTATAGCTATACTACAATCTACAAGTAAACGGTCGCATAACTATACTAAATAACAAAGATAATAATATTATATTGACTAACTATATAATATTATGTACGCCGTAAATTATTAAAAATAATAACGTAATATTGTGAACTTGTACGGCAAGTGTGAAGGATTAAGAAGTGTATTATAAGTGATGGCTTCAAAGTGACTTTATATATATATATAAACTTTCCTATCGTAGTCTATAAAAAATAGTTAATCAGTAATCTCTTTAATTTGAACCGATCATGAAAAATATTCCTGATAATATTTTATAAGTCACAGCATAGTTATACATTTTTAATAATAGGTACATCAAAATATTTTTTTAATGATATTAAATTTCCATTCAGATCACAATAACTATGGTATGTTATAAAATTGTATATTTAATTTAAAAATACATAAAAAATACCTATAATTAGTAGTCATATATTAAATTTGGTTTTTGATTTATAGTATTGATACGTATTTTACGTTTAAACCATTATAATTTAATAGTGAAAATTGCATATTATAGGCCAAAATAGGATGGATCTACCATCTACGTATCGATTTTTCATTCCAGTCAGCCCTCTAGTAAAAAAAAATTTTTATCATACCGGAATGAAAATATGTATATGCAACATTATTATATGAGTTTATAATGAGCTTAAATTATAGAAAATAATTAGCGAATTTAAATGGTACACATATAATGTCGTTAGGATATCGCGATGTGAAACGGCGGATGCGTTGACGAGTAACTTGAGGGAAACAGAAGAAAATCAACAAGAAAAAACCGAGTAGACCGAAGAATTGGAGCCGGCTTGTAATTGATACGTCTACCTACCTGATATAATGAAAATATATATATATCGTCGAGGGACGACCAGACGGAGACAATTGAACGAGATCGGCGGTGCGGCGTATAATGAGTGTCATTACGTTCCATCAACGAATGTATCACATGACGACTGCACGTCCGACCGAAATATAACAAATAATAATAACAATAAAACTCCAATGATGATAATGAAAATAATGAAAAAAAAAACTGTAATGGCTAACAGATCGTCGTCAAGGCCAAACGCACGCAGGTAATATGTGTGTCAACGAGGCTCGTCGTGATCGTCAACTGATCCGATTCTCACACGGTCACTCTCGTCCACTTGGCTGTACACGCACGTCGCTTTCCGAAATTATACATGATTAAACAATAATAACGATGATAGCAATAAATAATAATAACACTGATCGCGTGACTGACCTACGACCGCGGGATACGATACGAGAATGATACATCGTGTTTTGGGGCATTTCGCACGCGCCTCAACTATACAGCTGATTAACAATATTTTGATATGTATGTTGCGAAAATAAAAACAATTTCGCTGAAAATTATGAAAATATCTATAGCAAATCTTTGGCGATCAAACATTTATATTGTCAATGAATTGGAACAACTGTTTTCTGATTTCCTASAAAAAAATCTAATTAATAATTAATAAATAAAAAATTATATATAATATTTTATTGCATAAAGATCTCGTACTCATACGAGACAAAATAAAAACAATTTCATCCATATCAAGTGAGCTAACTAATTTCACAAGATAAAACGCATCACCGTTACTAAATAAAAATAAAAATAATAAACATAATAGGTACAAGGCTTAGAAGAATAGATGTTCTGATATTATTTGGACACAAAATATAATATTACCTACAAATACATTTTCGTTTGCTTGGTCTGAACGATGATTTTTCGATTAAAATTAAAATTATTAAGAAGGTGCGGGGCATTGTCCTCCAAACATTTGTATGCCCACATAAAAATAAATTAATGAATATTACATTTTGTATAATGTATAAGCATAAAGATACGCAGTACTTTTAAGAGGAGACAATATTTATTTTTTACCGGGCAAAAAATTCCTTGAACCGGCCTTCGCAATGGATACGGTGGTTTGCCATATACGTACGATTAATAATTATTTCTGATTTTGAAATACAGTTAACCACGCTATGTGTTTCTATCAAAAAC